CAGCAGCAGCAGCAGCAGCAGCAACAACAACAACACCAACAGGAACAGCCACAGCCCCAGTCCGACGCCGCACGACCACCCGTTAAGCGTCGCAACCGCAAGGCCGTCTCGTGCGTATCCTGCAGGGAGAAAAAGATCAAGTGCGATCGTGTAGTGCCGTGCAACCAGTGCGTCAAGCGAGGCGAACAGGACCAATGCCGCATCGAGCAGAAGCCCAAAATCCTCCACAACCACCCGACCGCCTCCTCCTCGGCCTCCCACCCTCCCATCGACCCGCTCTCGCCCGGATCCGCAGCCTACTCCCAGTTCAGCGCCGCCATCTCTACCGCCAAGGATCAGGTCAACGCCGCACAGGCCACCGGTAGCCCACCCCCCGCAGAAGTGGAAGCCATCAAGGCAAGGCTCGCTCAGGTCGAGGCGCTCCTCGCCGGTCAGATGCCCTTGTCCAGCGCAAATGCCCTCGCTCCCTCTTCGCCTGCAGCCTCGTCCAACTGGAACGTCTACAGATCCGCTTCCGGCTCCGGTCCTGCAGAACTCGACCTCTCCCGCGCTTCCACCAGCTCTCACAGCCCCGCCAGCCTCTTCTCCGGCCATCGCTCCGCATCCATCCCCACCTCCGCACATAACTCCTCGGTCTCCCCCATCGCAGCGCCTCATGATACCGACGAGAGCGAATCCGACGACGACGACGACACCGCTCCTTCCAGCCCGCGTGCTCCGTATTCCGTACACTCGCCCTCGAACCGCCTCAGGACAGACCGCATGCCCGTATCGAGGAAAGAGATGGACAGCGACACCGAGGACGCCGCCATGGTCCTCGAGCGCCTCGCCATGGACGGTCCCAACGACATGCGCTGGGACACCGCCTCCGGCGGTTGTCCAAAGCAGAAGAACGCCGCCGGCGCAGAAGACCTCGCCACCAGCCAGAAGTTCGAGCGCTGCAACAAAAAGGTCTCCGAGGCCGCAAACACGGCCAACGACACTGTCGCCCGCTTCGAAAAGTGTCTTCAGCGCGACAGAGAAGTGGGCCTCATGTCGACCGATCCAGCCACCTCGGCTTCAGCACAAGCCACCGTGCAGTCGCCCGTCAGCGTCCTGCCACTCCAGGCGTCCGATACTCAGGTCCCCACCGGTATGCTCCTTCCCACGCTCTCAAGCGCATCGCAATCCGACGAGCCGTCGAGCAGCGGTCCACCCTGTGCCTGCCGAGCACCCAACGACGAGGGCACCGACACCACCTCCTACCAAGTCGGTGCTGACCACGCCTGTCTCAAGAACAACGAGCCGGCGTCCAAGGAGCCTTCGCCCATCACCGTGCCCTGCAAGCTGGCGTGCGAGAACAAGGGTCTGCTTCGACTCAAGAGCGGTCCCGAAACCCTCTTTGGTTGGGGCATGGGCTGGGCCTGGTCGGCGGCCGAGATCCTCATCCAGCAGGACCAGCAAAAGGCCAAGGAGCAGGGCAAGCCCTTCGACGTCGGCCCTCGCACCGAGCGCGAAGCCGTGCTCCGCGCCATCTGCGAGAGTCTCCCATCCAAGCAGATGGCCTACCAGCTCATCGACGTCTACGAGTCCAGAGTCCGCTATCTCTGCGGCCACGTCGTGCATGTGCCGTGTCTCAAGCGCGAGATGGAAGCCTTCTACGCATTGGACTCGGTCGAGAAGCGCGCGCGCGTCGTCAACCACGTCGACCCGGGCTGGCTCGCCATGTTCCTCTCCGTGCTCGCTCTCGGCCTGCGCTTCTACCCCTGCACGCCCAAGGCAGGCTGGCAGCCCGCCAACCACCTCTTCGACGGCAAGACCATCTACGCGTGGCACTCGGCCGCCAAGACGTGCCTCGTGCTCGCAAACTACCTCAACTCCACCAGCATGAGCGTCATTCAGGCCATCCTCCTCCTCTACCTCTTCACCTCGGTCTCGGGCGCCAGCTGCGGCGGCGAGGCCGACTCGGGCACCACCAACACCGCCCTCCTCCGCATCGCCATCACCAATGCGCAGGAGATGGGCCTCCATCGCCTCGGCGACCTCGACAAGCAGCCGAAACCCAACGAGCCCTCGTCCAAAGTCATCCGCAGGGAGATTGCAAAGCGCATCTGGTGGGCCCTAGTCTTCCGCGACTGGAGTGCGACCGGCACCGGCTGCTCCAAGGACTACATCATCCGCGCAGAGCACTTCAACACGCCCCTGCCCGGCAACTACAACGACGAGGACCTCATGATCACGCCGCTCCCCGCTCCCAGGCCGCGCGAGGAGTTCACCGAAATGTCCTACGTGCTCTCCAACCTCGAGTTTGGCATGGTCGTCAAGGAGGACGTCGACGTGCGCTTCCGTCGCGAGTTACATACCGCCACCAACGGCGGCGACCGCCGCCTCACGTGCGTCGAGGCACAACGCCTCGACGTGCTCTACCGCGGCGTGCTCGAAAACGCACCCAGCTACTTCAAGGTGGGTTCCGAGATCGGCCGCGTGACGTGCATCGAGGTGCAGCGCTGGCTGCTCCAGCAGGCCGTCTTCAGCAAGCTCCTCCGCATCCACCGCCCCAACCTGTCGAGTCGCAAGGAGTCGCGCACCAACTGCGTGCTGCTCGCACGCTCCATCCTCGACATGCAGAAGAAGATCCGCTCGCGCTGCACCGTCATCGACCGCCTCTGGGTCAACCTCATGCAGAGCTTCTCGGCAGCCATCGTGCTGGCACTTCATCTGCTCCACACGCGACCCACCGCCGACCACCGCGAGTCGGTGCGCTCCGAGATCACCGAGGCGATCCGCGCGCTCAAGCAGGTGGACGGAAACGACTGCGCAGCCAAGAAATGCATTCGCGTCATCGAGGCCTTGCTCGAGGAGGAATCGGAGCGATGGCAGGCAGGCAATGCTGCCCTCGCACGCAAAGATGGTTCCGGTAAGCAGGAGGCTGCCAAGCCCAAGCGAAAGCGCCAGATGGACGTCGACACCGCCGACGACGAGGGCGCCGCCACGTCGGGGGGCGGCCGCAGAAAGAACCTGCTCAGCCTAGCGCAGCGAGTGGCGCAGGCCGCGCGCGAAGACGGCTCTGCGGCCAAGGCTCGCTCGGCGCCGGCTCCGGTCGACGAGGCTTCCAAGCGTCAGGCCACGATGGCTGCGGTCCGATCCGTGGCCGACGACGGCAGCCGCGCTGCGGCGGACCGGTCGCTCGAGGTGAACGGCGTCACGGCGCTCAAGGACGATGCTTCGCTCTTCCGGATGAACAACATCACGCTGCCGACCTCGGGTCCTAGCCCGATGGCCATGTCAGCGCAGGCCAACACGGACGACGTGGCATTCCCGCAGATGCTGTCGACCATGCCGTTCCCGAGCAACCTGTTCAACTTTGACGGCAGCAACGAGGCCGCCCAGCGTCTGGTGCCGCCCAACGGTGTCGACCTGATGCTCAACAACCCCATCACTCCGCCGGACGGGCAGTCGTTTGACCTCGCCGCGTTCCTCGAGCAGGTGCAGAACTCGCCCGGCAGCTCGACCGATGTCAGTCTTTCGTCGGGCCACGACGAGCGCTCGGCCTCGACGAGCTCGGACGTGTCTGGCATGGACGACAAGGCGTCTGGCTCGGCATTTGGCCGCGCGAGCACCAGCAGCATCGGCGACGGCACCGACAACACGAGCGTGTCGAGCTTCGGCGAGCTGCTGCTCACCAAAGAGGCCATCAACCGCCAGCAGCAGCATCTGCAGGGAAGCAACGGTGTCAGCGCGCTTGCAGCCAACGCAGGCGTGGGTGCCACGCAGGCGGGCTCGGCGGCGACGGGTGCGGCAAGGCCGGATGCGTCGACGGACATGGACTCGTTCTGGAACTGGATCATCACCCAGGGCGCCAACGGCATCACGGCCAATACGGGTGCGGCGGGACAGGCGGCACCCGTGCTGGTCCAGCCCGCGCAGAGCAACGCGACGCCGTCGAGCCAGGCCAACGTCGGTGTGCAGGTGGCTGCGCAGGCGGCTGTGCCCGCTACGCCCCAGTCGGCGCACAGCGGCTTNGTCGGTGAGCAGGTGGCTGCGCAGGCGGCTGTGCCCGCTACGCCCCAGTCGGCGCACAGCGGCTTGACGCCGTTCCTGGGTCCGAACGGATTCTTCGCCAACGCCGGCATGGATCTTGCCAAGGGTGGTGCCGCGGTGCACGGGTATCCGACACCGAGCTCGATGGCGTCGTCGACGCCGCCGAGCAAGGCCGAGCCTGTGGGTGCGCAGGCGACTCAGCCGAGCACGACGGGCCCGGCTGCCGGCGGCGCGTTCGGCGACGATGCGCAGAAGGCGGATCTGCTTTCGGTGGGCACGCCGAGCGCCGGCTTTGGTCTCGAGAGCTTCCTGGGCGCGCCGCTGTACGACTTTACCGACTTTGCCAATGCGTGGACGGCGAGCAACCCGGCGAGTGCGGGTCAGGTGGGCGCGAGCATGGGCCCGGTTTCGGATCCCTAGTCGTATGCCCAGTGTCTTGTATTTTTATCCTCTGTGTGTGTGTGCAATCGTACCGCTTCTGTTTGATTGCAAGTTTGGTGGGGCAAGGGGGGTGGTGAGAGCAGCGTGAGGATGAGGCCAAGCGTGTGATGCGATGGGGCGTCGGTGCCAGCGGTGATGCACGAGCGAGGATGTCACGCAGGAGTTGCGGCTGTGAACGGCGGTGCCAGCGTCGCGAGGGTGAGCCTGGCTACTGTTCAGTACGCTTCGTACGAGCACTATGCGGCAAGATTGGTACCGCTTCAGTCGACTGAACCGCTTGAATCAGCTGAACCAGTTGAAGCGATTGGAGTGATGGAACCAGTTGAACCAGCTGAAGTGCCTGAACCCGTTGAACCACTTGGACCGACTGCATCAACTGA